TTCCCCAGGGAGGTTGAGGCCCTCCACAGGGTGTCTATGATCTGTCATTTTATCCAGAGCAGAGCCTAGACCCTCCCCCAAGAGTCCAGGGTGAGAGTGCATCTCTTATTGTTGGATGGGCACCCAAAGCCCATTTGTATGCCAGGGATAAATATTGATTTACTACTCAAGGCCTCATAGATTGCCTAGGCCTCCTCACTGACATCCAAATCCAGGGGATATTGATCAGTCCCATGCTGGATTGCCAGCCATCAGTTTGAGATTCAAGAGCTACCCCTTGATCAGGTCAGCTCATTCTGGGAGTTAAACCAGCCCAGTTTTAACCGCTGTGCTCATCAATCCTCCCTTTCTGTCACTAGGTTCCTTGATTTTAGCTCAGTGTTTAGCTGTGGGAGTCTGGCTATGCTTCCATCAGCCATTGGATGAAGGTTATGTTTCCCAGACTCTCTGGCCATGAGATTGTAGGCTAGCACTCCCCTGATCTATGTGTAAATCCATATATGAGAGAGTACATACCAAGTTTGTCTTTTTGTGACTGGGTTACCCCACTCAGGATGGTTCCTTCTAGTGTCATCCATTTGCCTGCAAATTTCAAGATTCCATTGTCCCCCCTCAATAGTACTCCCTTGTGTAAATGTACAACATTTTTTGTATCCTCTCTTCAGTTGAGGGGCATCTAGGTTGCTTCCAGGTTCTGGTTATTACAAGCAATGCTGCTATGAACATAGTGGAACAGATGTCCTTGTTGTATGAATGTGCATCTTTTGGATATATGCCTAAGAGTGGAATTGCTGGGTCTTGTGGGAGACTGATTCCCATTTTTCTGAGGAATCTACATACTGATTTCCAAAGTGGTTGTACGAGTTGGCACTCCTACCAGCAGTGGAGGAGTTTTCCTCTTTCTCCACATCCTCTCCAGCATAAACTATCATTGTTGTTTTTGATTTTAGTCATTCTGACAGGAATAAGATGATATCTCAGAGTTGTTTTGATTTTCATTTCCCTGATGGCTAGGAATGTTGAACAGTTTCTCAAGTGCCTCTCAGCCATTTTAGACTCCTCTATTGAGATTTCTCTATTTAGTTCTGTAGCCCACTTTTTAATTATATCCTTTGGTGTTTTGGAGACTTGCTTCTTGCGTTCTTTGTAAATTTTTGAAATAAGTTCTCTGTCAGATGTGGGGTTAGTGAATAATATCTTTTCCCATTCTGTGGGCCGTCTTTTTGTGTTGTTGACTGTGTCCTTTGCCCTACAGAAGCTTCTCAGTTTCAGGAGGTCCCATGTATTAATTGTTGATCTCACTGTCTGTGCTACTGGTGTTATGTTCAGGAAGCAGTCTCCTGTACCAATTCATTCAAGGGTACCACCCACTTTCTCTTCAAAGAGGTTCAGTGTAGCTGGATTTATGTTGAGGTCTTTGATCCACTTGGACTTAAGTTTTGTGCATGGCAATAGACATGGATCTATCTGCAATGTTCTACATCCAGTTATGCCAGCACCATTTGTTGAACATGCTTTCTTTTTTTCCATTGTATATTTTTAGCTTCTTTGTCAAAGATCAGATGTTCATACATGTGTGGGTTAATGTCAGGGTGTTCAATTTGATTCCATTGGTCTACCTGTCTATTTTTGTGCCAATACCAAGCTGTTTTCAGTACTACAGCTCTATAATAGAGCTTGAAGTCAGGGATGGTGATGTCTCCAGATGTTGCTTTGTTGAATAAGGTTGTTTTGTCTATCCTGGGTCTTTTGTTTTTCCATATAAAGTTGATTATTTATCTTTCAAGGTCTGTGAAGTATTGTGCTAGTATTTTAATGGTAATTACATTTGAATCTGTAGATTGCTTTTGGCATGATTGCCATTTTTACTATATTGATCCTACCTATCCAAGAGCATGGGAGATCTTTTCATTTTCTGATGTCTTCTTTAATTTCTTATTTTAAAGAGTCAAAGTTCTTGTGGTACAGGTCTTTCATTTGTTTGGTTGGCGTTACCCCAAGGTAGTTTATGTTGCTTGTGTCAATTGTAAAGGGTGATGTTTCTCAGCCCTTTTATCATCTGTATATAGTAGGGCTACTGATTTTCTTGAGTTGATCTTGTATCCTGTCACTTTGCTGAAAGTATTTATCAGCTATAGGAGTTCCCTGGTAGACTTTTTTGGATCACTTATCTAAACTATCATATCATCTGCAAAAAGTTTGACCTCTTCCTTTCCAATTTGTATCCTCTAGATATCCTTTTGTTGTCCTATTGCTCTAGCTAGAACTTCGGGTACGATATTGAAAAGGTATGGAGAGAGTGGACAGCCTTGTCTTGTTCCTGATTTTAGAGGAATTGCATTGAATTTCTGTCCACTTAGTTTGATGTTGGCTGTTGGTTTGCTGTATATAGCTTTTATTATGTTTAGGTATGTTCCTGTTATCCCGGATCTCTCCAAGACCTTTGTCATGAAGGGTTGTTGGATTTTGTCAAAGGCTTTTTCAGCATCTAGTGAGATGGTCATGTGATTTTTGTTTCTCAGCTTGTTTATATGGTGAATTACATTGATGGATTTTCATATGTTGAACCATCCCTACATCCATGGGATGAACCTACTTGATGGTGGTGAATGATTGTTTTGATGTGTTCTTGGATCTGATTTGCCAGTATTTTATTGAGTATTTTCACATCAATGTTCATGAGGGATATTGGTTTGAAGTTCTCTTTCTTAGTTGTGTCTTTGTGTGGCTTGGGGATCAAGGTTATTGAAGCCTTATAGATTGAGTTTGGCAAAGACCCTTCTGCTTCTATTGTGTGGAATACTTTGAGAAGAATTGGTATAAGCTGTTCTTTGAATTTCTGGTAGAATTCTGCACTGAGGGCATCTGGATCTTGGCTTTATTTGGTTGGGAGACTTTTGATGACTGCTTCTATTTCCATAGGGGTTATAGGTCTATTTAAATTGCTTATCTGTTCTTGATTTAATTTTGGCAAGTGATATCTATCCAGAAAATTGTTCATTTCCTTTACATTTTTAAATTTTGTGGAGTACAGGTTTTCAAACTATGACCTGAGATTCCTTAGTGTCTGTTGTTATGTCCCCCTTTTGTTTCTGATTTTGTTAATTTGCATGTTCCTACTCTGCCGTTTGGTAAGTTTGGATAAAGGTTGGTCTATCTTGTAGATTTTCTCCAAGCACCAATTCTTCATTGCATTGATTCTTTGTATTGTTTTCCTTGTTTTTATTTTATTGATTTCAGCCCTCAGTTTGATTGTTTCCTGGTGTCTACTCCTCCTGGATGAGTTTGCTTCTTTGTGTTTTAGATCTTTCAGCTGTGCTGTTAATTCTCTTGTGTAACTATTCTCCAGTTTCTTCATGTGGGCACTCAGTGCTATGGACTTCCCTCTTTGCACTGGTTTCAAAGTGTCCCATAGGTTTGGGTATGTTGTGTCTTCATTCGCATTGAATTCTAGGGAGTCTTTAATTTCTTTTTTTATTTCTTCTTTGACTCAGGAATGGTGCAATTGTGCATTTTTCAATTTCCATGAGTTTGTATGGTGTCTGCAGATTGTGTTGTTGTTTAATTCTAATTTTAATGCATGGTGGTATGATAAGATGCATGAAGTTATTGCATTTTTTGGTACCTGTTGAGCTTTGTTATGTTGCCAAGTATGTGGTTGATTTTTGAGAAGGTTCCATGTGGTGCTGAGAGGAAGGCTTATTCTTTTTTATTTGGATGGAATGTTGTATAGATGTCTATTAATCCCAATTGGGTCATAACTTCTATTAGTTCCTTTGCTTCCTTGTTAAGTTTCTGCCACTAGGCGCTGTCTAGTTGTGTGAGTTGGGTGTTGAAGTCTCCCAGTACAAGTGTGTGGGACTTTATATGTGATTTCAGTTTTATTAATGTTTCTTTTAAGAATGTGGATGCCTTTGTATTTTTGGGCATAGATGTTCAGAATTGAAACTTCATCTTTGTGTATTTCTCCTGTGAGGAGTATGAAATGACCTCCTTCATCTCTTTTGATTGATTTTATTTTAAAGTCTAATTTGTTAGATATTAGGATTGCTACCCCTGCTTGTTTCTTGGGTCCATTTGATTGGAAAATCTTTTCCCAACTTTTAACTCTGAGGTGTGTTTCTTCTATGCAGCAGAAGGATGGGTTCTGTCTTTGAATCCATTTTTTTAACCTGTGTCTTTTTATGGGTGAGTTAAGACCATTAATAATGAGGGATATTAATGACCATTGATTGCTCATTCTTCTTTGATTTGGAATGGTTGTTGTTGTTTGAATTATGTGTGGAATTCCACCCCTTTTTTCTTTTTGCTGTTGGTAAGGTGGGATTATCTAATGCCTATGTTTTCCTGGTTGTAGGTAACTTCCTTGTGTTGGAGTTTTCCTTCCAGAACTCTCTGTAGTGCTGGGTTAGTGGATATATATTGTTTGAATCTAGTTTTCTCATGCAATATATTTTTTATCCATCTACAGTTATTGAAAGCTTTGTTGGTATAGTAGTCTGTGTTGGCATCCATGGTCTCTAAGTATTGGTAGAATATCTATCCAGGACCTTCTGGCTTTCAGAGTTTCCATGCAGAAGTCAGATGTAATTCTGACACCTTTGCCTTTATATGTTATTTGGCCTTTTTTCTTAGCTGCTCTTTGTAGGAGGAAACCATTAACCATGTGACTTACTAGAGGCACATACAGATGAGGTAGTAAAAGAGCAATGTACCAGACGACTAACCACACCCACTTTAGGCATGACTAAATATGTATACGGACGTAGGCAGTGAACTACGTCAATAGCAAGGCCTGCTTTTGGGCATGGCTAGGGGAGTTACAGAAGAAGGTATAAAAGACTGAACAATGGAAGTCTCAGTCTCTTTTTCCAGCTTTCGGCTTCCAGTTCAGTGGCGGAAAACTACTCGGCTGATCTGGGGTACTTGTTTGGTCTCTTGTAATTTCTACAATAAATACTTATTTTTACTTTCAGTAAGTGTGCTGTTTATTGTTGCAGCATCACTTTGGTGTCAGAAGTTTCTGAACCTGGATCCAGGTGCTCAGAAAAGTGACTGCTCCTCAGCCTGACCAGGCCCATGTGGACTCTCCTTTCGCTAAGTTCTCCCCCACTTCACTCGGCAAGGCAAAATTCCTGCCACTGTGAACCAGCACCTTCTACCTGCCGGTAAGGTTAGGTAGTATTCCGATATTTCTCTCGCAGCCACGTGCTCTTTCGCTGGCAGCCTGCTGATTTCGGCCTGAATAAAACTCCACTGGTAACAAACTTAACTGCTTTATACAATGTCAACTAACATTACGATGCAGGATGTGAAGAATTTTCTTGTTTTTTGTATGGATGGGATTTTAGAAAGTGTTGATGACCTACCTGACAGGGACTTCCTACCCACGATGGCGATTATTAGTTTCATAATCAATATAATTTTGCTAAAGAAATGGTTCAAATATAGGGTGACATATGACAAACTTATACAGTTTTTATGGTCATCGCAGGATGGTTATGAAATCTTAGTAAAAAGTATTCAGGAAATGGAAAATTCCTTGCAGGATAGCAAGGAATGTTTGGTAGAAAATATTCAGGATATTAAAAATGATAATGTAGGTCTGACAAACAGGTTTAAAGAACACAAAATTGAATTACTTTCAGGAAAAATGTGTTCAACAGACAGAATAGAAAAAGTCGGACATAATGTTGAAACGTTTAACCAAAAAAACTGTTCCAAGTTTTATGATTTCACTAGCAAACTACAAAGACTGGAACATAAAATTGAAATGCTAACAGAAAAGATTTGTTCCATGTCTGAGAGCAATGACAAACTAGCTGATAGAACGTCATTTCTGGAAGGCAGTGTACATGCTATTGAGATACTTTCTAAGGATGAGAATGTTAAATATTTGGAATCATGTGTAAATGATGAATGCAAAAAAAGAACGATTCCATGACATCCTTAGAAAATTATTTGGCCCAAGAACTTTAAGAGCTCAGAGAAACAATGATGAATAGACCACAGGTTTTTAGAAGACATCCAATCTGATACTTCAGAATCAAACATACAGAGAGGAGGCTGGGAGTCCAGCGAAGCGGCGGTTCTTCCAGCAGCATCAGGTAAACAGGCCGGCTACCCGGCCTGTGCTCCAGTGCCTGCAGATCCCCTGGGACCTGCACAGAGCTCCCAATTCCGGCGGGAGCCAAGCACCCCAGACTCCGGATCTTCGCTCACACCAACGAGACCAGGAAAGGAGAGGAGGCTGGGAGACCAGCGAAGCGGCGGTTCTTCCAGCAGCATCAGGTAAACAGGCCGGCTTCCCGGCCTGTGCTCCAGTGCCTGCAGATCCCCTGGGAACTGCACAGAGCTCCCAATCCTGGCGGGAGCCAAGCACCCAGACCCCAGGTCTTCTCTCCCACCAACGAGACCAGGAAACCAGAGGACCCAGGGAGACCAGGGGAGCAGCTGTTCTGGATCAAGTACAACAGGACCCAGCATAGGGTCCAGGGGACCAGGTAAGAGGATAAGCGCCCCAGATTCCGGTTCTTCTTCTCCACCCACGGGACCAGCATTCGGACAAGGAATAGAAGAACCACCAGATTATTGGACTTGCTAGCACCCACCAAAAGGGAACGCTGGTCCCCAAACCAGGAAGGGGCTCTTTCTGTACCCACTAGAAGAAGAGATGGGAAAGAGACAATACAAAAACACAGTCAGCAACAGAAAAACAAATATGACACCGCCAGATTCTAGAGACTCCACACCAGCAAGACCCCAACATTCCAATGCGGATGAAGCAGAAGAGAACGACCTTAAAAGCATTTTCATGAAAATGATAGAGGCCCTAAAAGAGGATATTGGAAAATCCCTCAAAGAAATGGAAGAAAAAACAAACCAAAAAATGCAAGAATTGGAAGAAAAAACAAACCAAAAAAGGCAGAAAATGGAAGAAGAAATGAAGCAAAAAATGCAAGAAATGGAAGAAAAAACAAAGCAAAAAATGCAAGAATTGGAAGAAGAATCATACCAAAAAAGGCAGGAAATGGAAGAAGAAACAAAGCAAAAAATGCAAGAAATGGTAGAAAAAACAAAGCAAAAAATGAAAAAAATGGAAGAAGAAACACACCAAAAAAGGCAGGAAATGGAAGAAGAAACAAAGCACAAAATGCAAGAAATGGAACAAAAAACAAACCAAAAAATGCAAGAAATGGAAGAAAGAACAAACCAAAAAATTCATAAAAGGCAACAAACGGACAAACAGATAAACAGAAAATTGCAAGAAGCAATGCAAACACTGCAAGGGTTGAAAACTGAAATAGAGTCATTAAAAAAAACACAATCTGAAGAAAGGCAGAAAATAGAAAAGCTGGACAAACAGACAGGCACTACCAATACAAGCATTACCAACAGAATAGAAGAGATGGAAGAGAGAATCTCAAGTGTTGAAGATACGCTAGGAGAAATGGATTTATCAACCAAAGAAAACCTTAAATCCAACAAATCCTTAACACAAAACATCCAGGAAATATGGGACACCATGAAAAGACCAAACCTAAGAATAATAGGTATAGAAGAAGGAGAAGAAATCCAGCTCAAAGGGGCAGAAGGCATATTCAACAAAATCATAGAAGAAAACTTTCCCAACCTTAAGAAAGACATGCCAATGAAGGTACAAGAAGCCTACAGAACACCAAATAGAGTGGACCACAAAAAAATCCCTCGCCACATAATAATCAAGACCCCAAACATACAGAATAAAGAAAGAATATTAAGAGCAGCTAAGGAAAAAGGTCAAGTAACATATAAAGGCAGACCTATCAGAATTACACCTGATTTCTCCATGGAAACGCTGAAAGCCAGAAGGTCCTGGATAGATATTCTACCTACACTAAGAGACCATGGATGCCAGCCCAGACTACTATACCCGGCAAAGCTCTCAATCACTATAGACGGAGAAAACAAGATATTCCATGACAAAACTAGATTCAAGCAATATGTGTCCACTAACCCAGCCCTACAGAAAATTTTGGAAGGAAAACTCCAACCCAAGGAAGCTAACTACAACCAGAAAAACATAAGCATTAGAGAATCTCTCTCTACCAACAGCCAAAAGAACAAAGGGGTGAAATTCCACACATAATTCCACCAACAACAACCATCGCAAATCGAAGAAGGATGAGCAATCATTGGTCATTAATATCCCTCAATATTAATGGCCTTAACTCACCCATAAAAAGACACAGACTAGCAGATTGGATTCGAAGACAGAACCCTTCCTTCTGCTGCATACAGGAAACACACCTCACCCTTAAAGACAGACATTACCTGAGAATTAAAGGTTGGGAAAAAATTTTTCAATCGAATGGACCCAAGAAACAAGCTGGGGTAGCAATCCTAATATCTAACAAACTAGACTTTAAAATAAAATCAATCAAAAGAGATGAAGGAGGTCATTACATACTCATCACAGGTGAAACCCACCAAGATGAAGTGTCTATTCTGAACATCTATGCCCCAAATACAAAGGCATCCACATTCGTTAAAAAAACATTATTAGAACTTAAATCTCATCTAAAGCCCCACACAGTTATAGTGGGAGATTTCAACACACCACTCTCACCACTAGACAGGAATACCAAACAGAAACGCAACAAAGAAGCAAAAGGGCTAATAGAAGTAATGACCCAACTGGGATTAACAGATATCTATAGAACATTTCATCCACATAAAAAAGAATATACCTTCTTCTCACCACCACATGGAACCTTCTCAAAAATCGACCACATACTTGGCAACATATCAAACCTCAGCAGCTACAAAAAAATTGGAATAACTCCATGCATCTTATCAGACCACCATGCTTTAAAATTAGAATTCAACAACAACACAAATTGCAGAAAACCTACAAACTCATGGAAATTGAATAATGCTCAACTGCACCATCCCTGGGTCAAAGAGGAAATAAAAAAGAAATTAAAGACTTCCTTGAATTCAATGAGAATGAAGACACAACATACCCAAACCTATGGGACACTTTGAAAGCAGTGCTACGGGGGAAGTTCATAGCGCTAAATGCTCACATGAAGAAACAGGAGAACAGTTATACCAGAGAATTAACATCACAGCTGAAAGCTCTAGAACACAAAGAAGCACACTCCCCAGGAGGAGTAGACGCCAGGAAATAATCAAATTGAGGGCTGAAATCAATAAAGTAGAAACCAGGAAAACAATACAAAGAATCAACGCAACGAAGAGTTGGTTCTTTGAGAAAATCAACAAGATAGACAAACCTTTGTCCAAACTTACCAAACAGCTGAGAGTGAACACGCAAATTAACAAAATTAGAAATGAAAAGGGGGACATAACAACAGACTCTGAGGAAATCCAGAGAATCATTAGGTCATACTTTGAAAACCTGTACTCCACAAAATTCGAAAATTTAAGGAAATGGATGACTTCCTGGACAGCTATCAATTGCCAAAACTAAATCAAGAACAGATAAGCAATTTAAATAGACCTATAACCCCTATGGAAATAGAAGCTGTCATCAAAAGTCTCCCAACCAAAAAAAGCCCAGGTCCAGATGGCCTCAGTACAGAATTCTACCAGAAATTCAAAGAACAGCTTATACCAATTCTTCTCAAAGTGTTCCACACAATAGAAGCAGAAGGGTCTTTGCCAAACTCGTTCTATGAGGCTTCAATAACCTTGACCCCCAAGCCACACAAAGATACAACTAAGAAAGAGAACTTCAGACCAATATCCCTCATGAACATTGATGCAAAAATACTCAATAAAATACTGGCAAATCGGATCCAAGAACACATCAAAACAATCATTCACCACGATCAAGTAGGTTTCATCCCAGGAATGCAGGGATGGTTCAACATACGAAAATCCATCAATGTAATCCACCATATAAACAAGCTGAAAAACAAAAACCACATGATCATCTCACTAGATGCTGAAAAAGCCTTTGACAAAATCCAACACCCCTTCATGATAAAGGTCTTGGAGAGATATGGGATAACAGGGACATACTTAAACATAATAAAAGCTATATACAGTAAACCAACAGCCACTTTGGAAATCAGTGTGGAGATTCCTCAGAAAAATGGGAATAAACCTACCACAAGACCCAGCAACTCCACTCTTAGGCATATATCCAAAAGATGCCCATTCATACAACAAAGAGGTCTGTTCCACTATGTTCATAGCAGCTTTATTTGTAATTGCCAGAACGTGGAAGCAACCTAGATGTCCCTCACCTGAAGAGTGGAGTACTATTCAGCAGAAAAAAATAATGAAATCATGAGATTCGCAGGCAAATGGATGACACTAGAAGAAACCATCCTGAGTGAGGTAACCCAGTCACAAAAAGAGAAACATGGCATGTACTCTCTCATATATGGATTTTAGACATAGATCTGGGGAGTGCCAGCCTACAATCCTATGGCCAGAGAGTCTGGGAAACAGAAACTTTATTTAGTGGCTGATCGAAGAAGAGGCAGACTCCCTTGGTTAAGTACTGAGCTGAACTCAAGAAAGCCAGTAACATAGAGGGAGGACTGATGATCAAAGGGATTAAGACTGGGCTGGTTTAACCCCCAGAAACAGCTGACCAGACAAAGGTTAACTCTTGAATCCCAGGCATTAGCCTGGGAAGTCAGCATGGGACTGATCAAGACCCCCTGAATCTGGGTGTCAGTGAAGAGGCCTAGGGAATCTATTGAGCCTTGGGCAGCAGATCAGTACCCATCCCAAGTTTTCACACGGACTTTGGACTCCAATAGAACAATGTGAGGTGCACTCTCACCCAGAACTCTTGGGAAAGGGTCTAGGCCCTGCCCTATATGAAATGACACACTATGGACACCCCCATGGAGGGCCTCACCCTCCCTGGAGAAATGAGAGGATAACGGGGGGGGGGAGGGGAGGGCACGGGAGGAAGGGAGGGAATGGGAGAGGTACCTGGAACTGACTTGTGAAGCAACCTTGATTCTTATCTAAATTTAAACTGGAAAATAAAATTAAAAAAAAAAACAAAAAAAAAACAAAAAAAAACAAAAAAAACAAAAAAAAGAAAAAAAAAGAAAAAAAAAGAATCAAACATACAGGCATCAGGTCAGGACAGGGGTTTCCTAACATTTCTCCAATGGCGGAAAGATCCCCCCTAAGGTTGCTATGTATTCACCTATAGTTTTCCCAGTATCTGTAACAGAAAAACTAGCAACGAAAAAGCACTCAAATGGTCCCATTGGTTATCAATGCGGACCTATACAGTTTGCCTTCACGGTACCTACCTATAATAATTCCCAACCAGTACAGAGATTCCAGTGGAAGGTACTACCTCAAGGTATGTTAAATAGCTCAACTTTGGGTCAATATTTTGTGCATAAACCTTTAGAAATAATTCGTAAAAAATTTCCACATTCATTAATAAATCATTATATAGATGACATATTACTGTCTGATTCAAATACGGATACTTTGGAAAAGATGTTTGAAGCAGTAAAGGAAACTTTGCCTCGCTGGGGATTACAAATTGCCCCAGAAAAAAATACAAAGAGGAGAATCTATTAACTATTTAGGTTATAAAATCGATGCTCAGAAAATTAGACCGCAGAAAATACAGATCAGAAGAGATCATTACCCGACTCTTAATGATCTTCAAAATCTATTAGGAGAAATCTCTCAATTACAGACAATTATCAGTGTAGAAGGGCATGATTTAAAACACCTGAAAATGGCTTTAAAAGGAGATAAAGACCTAAACAACCCATGAGTACTATCACCTGAGGCTGAAAAAGAATTAGAAAAGAGGGTAGAAAAGAGAATATTAGAAGCACATGTGGACCGTGTGGATCCGAAGCTGGTATGTATTCTGGTTATTTTACCATCTAGAGAATACCCCTCAGGAATATTAATGCAGAGGGAAGATATCATACTAGAATGGGTATTTCTGCCACATAAACAGAATAAAAAATTGAAAACATATATAGAAATGATCTCTGATTTGATATTAAAAGGTAAGTTAAGGCTTTGTCAACTGACTGGGAAAGACCCAGATGAAATTATTGTACCTTTAACGAATGAGGAAATTTCCTCCTTATGGAAGGATAGTGAGTATTGGCAAATAGCTTGCAGTGACTTTTTGAGAACTATTAGTAATAACTATCCCAAAACAGAGAGAATCAAATTCATAAAGAAAGCAGTTTGGATTTTTTCACGTATTGTGAGGCAAACACCTATATCTGGAGTTCTTACCTTCTACACGGATGCAAACAAATCAGGTAAGGCAGGGTATAAATCAGGAAATATAAGTAAAGTAGTTCAAAGCCCTTACAACTCCGTACAAAAGGCAGAGTTATATGCCATTCTCATGGTACTTAAAGAATTTACAGAGCCTTTCAATATAGTCACGGATTCTCAGTATGCAGAAAGAATTGTCTTGCACATTGAGACTGCAGAATTTGTTCCTGATAATATAGAATTAACCTCATTGTTTCTACAATTACAGGAGACCATCAGAAACAGGACTCATCCTATGTATATAACACACATCAGATCCCATACAGGTCTGCCAGGTCCTCTGGCACAAGGCAATGATGAAATTGATCGTTTATTAATAGGTAATGTGTTGGAAGCTTCAGAATTTCATAAGAAACACCATGCTAACAGCAAAGGCTTAAAGAAGGATTTTTCTATCACCTGGCAACAAGTCTAAGAAATAGTAAGAAATTGCCCCAGTTGCTCATTCTACAATCAAACTTCATTACCAGCAGGTTGTAATCCTAAAGGTATTCACAGAAATGAACTTTTGCAAATGGATGTATTTCACTTCCCAGAATTTGGCAGTTTGAAATATGTACACCATACCATAGACACATTCTCAGGCTTCCAATGGGCTACTGCCCTCAGCTCTGAAAAAGCTGATTCTGTTATTACACACCTCTTAGAGGTGATGGCTGTTATGGGTATACCTAGAACAATAAAAACTGACAATGCTCCAGCATATGTCTCCAGTAAATTGGAACAATTTTTCAAATATTATAATATAAAACATGTAACTGGTATACCTTACAATCCCACAGGACAAGCAGTGATTGAAAGATCTAACCGAACCTTAAAGGAGATGCTTCATAAACAGCCAGGGGGAACAAACAACCCCAAACACAGGTTACATAATGCTTTACTAACATTGAATTTTCTTAATGCTGATGAAAAAGGACAAACTGCAGCAGAAAGACACTGGGCTACAGAGAAGACTTCTGAACTGAACCAACCAGTGTATTTTAAGGATGGTATGACCTCAGTCTGGAAACCAGGATATGTGTTACGTTGGGGAAGGGGTTTTGCTTTTGTTGCCACAGGAGAAGAAAAGCTTTGGGTTCCATCAAAATTAATTAAGATTCGATCAGAACAGAAGACATCTCAGGAGGAGGAAGATAATAGTTCATCTACAAAATCATATTCTACCATGGGTAAAATGACCTCCTAAAAGGAGTGTTTTGTTTTTTGTCTTCATAGGTAAACTCAGGAAAGAATACTGGACATATAGATTCCTGAAGAAGAATGAATAGCTACTCTGAGGACCATCAAACAAACAGTAACTCACTGTGTGGTATCAAAGTCTAAATCTCTCTATATATTGTTTTTATAATACCCTTTTATCTTTGTTTCTTCATATACTTTAGTCCCCATTCATTTAACTGAAGCTGGCTTTGGAGTTGGATTGGCTCTCCTACTCTAAATTCAAGCATATTATTTAAATAAAATTCAGAATTTCTGTATTATATCAAAGAGCCATTGTTATAAGACAGAAGAAAAAATTAGGGACTGTTATCTGTGGATTTCTTTTTCTGAAAAGTCTAATTTCCTTCATGTTTACCATCTTCCCTATTGTCAACTCTTCCGGTATGCATACGTATAAAAGTTAAAAATATTTCTTTGTTAACATTAATGTTTGAGTTTTCCAGAGAACAAGGGATTTCCTGACAGCAATCTTCAACTGCTTCAGAACGAGAATGAGAATCCACTTCCTTGACTCCACCTGATTCTACTGTTGGCATCTGAACTGCCCCACATCATTGACTCCACCTGACAAGCACTATATTGGCTTGAAACTACATCACTCAACACAACCCCGGACCAAGGAACTGAAATAGCACATCTTCTACAATCTGGCCAGTGCTTCAGATGAGAGCTTCAATCAACACTAGAACCCCCAGACAGGAACTTCAATCAAGCATCTCCTGCCATACAGAGACTGTCTGATCTACTGAGATTTTGTTACACTAACATTTTCCTTCTCACAGGTCCCCATGAGATTGTCATCGTCCCATCTCAGCAGGAAGTAGTTTTGAGAATTCCATGCCCTCTCTCCCTATTATTGCTATTATAGATAGGATAGGTTACACCTGTTAGTGTTAGTTTTCAATTATTTTAGAGTTGGGATTGGAAGGAGGTGTTCAGACTTGGGTGTTTCTTTCAGATAAGTTTAGGTTTAGATGGGATAGATGTTTGATACATTTTGATCATTGACACAAGTTAGTTGTTTTAAATTTAAATATCATTTTTAGACTAAAAGGGGAATTGTAGGAGGAAAACAATGCCGCTATTAACCATGTGACTTACTAGAGGCACATACAGATGAGGTAATAAAAGAGCGATGTACCACACCGCTAACCACACCCACTTTAGGCATGACTAAAGACGTATACGGATGTAAGCTGTGAACTACGTCACTAGCCAGGCCCACTTTTGGGCATGGCTAGGGGCGTTACAGGGAAAGGTATAAAAGACTGAACAACGGAAGTCTCAGTCTCTTTTTCCAGCTTTCGGCTTCCAGTTCAGTGGCGGAAAACTACTCGGCTCATCTGGGTTACTTTGGTCTCTTGTGAGTAATTTCTACAATAAATACTTATTTTTACTTTCAGTAAGTGTGCCGTTTATCGTTGCAGCATCAGCTCTTAATATTCTTTCTTTATTCTTTATTTGGGGTCTTGATTATTATGTGACAAGGGAACTTCCTTTTGTGTTCCACTCTATTTGGTGTTCTGTAAGCTTCTTTTACCTTCATTGGCATGTCTTTCTTTAGGTTGGGAACATTTTCTTCTATGACTTTGTTGAAGATATTTTCTGCCCCTTTGAGCTGATTTTCTTCCCCTTCTTCTATACCTATTATTCTTAGGTTTGGTCTTTTCATGTTGTCCCATATTTCCTAGATATTTTGTATTAGGGATTTGTTAGACTTAAGATTCTGTTTGGTCAATGAATCAATTTCTCCTAGTGCATCTTCAACACCTGAGATTCCCTCTCCCATCTCTTGTATTCTGTTGGTTATGCTTGCATCTGTAGTACCTGACCATTTCCTGGCTTTTGTATTTCCAGCCTTCCTTCAGATTGTGTTTTTTTCTTATTGTATCTATTTCAGTTGTCAACCATTGCACTGTTTGAATTGTTTCTTGCAATTTTTGCCTTTTCTTTTTGTCCATTTGTTGCATTTTTGGATTTTTTTGGTTTGTTCTTTCTTCCATTTCTTACATTTTTTTGTTTGCTTTTTCTTCCATTTCTTGCATTTCTTTCTTTGTTTTTTCTTCCATTTCTTGCATTTTTTGGTTTGCTTTTTCTTTTGTTTCTTGCATTTTTTGGTTTGTTTTTTCTTCCATGTTTTGGTTTGTTTTTTCTTCCATTTCTTGCATCTTTTGGTTTGCTTTTTCTTCCATTTCTTTGAGGGATTTTTCCATATCTTCTTTGAGTGCCTGTATCATTTTCATGAATTTGTTAGTAAGGTTATTCTCTTCTGCTTCGTTTGCTTTGGAATGTTGGAGTGTTGTTGGTGTGGAGTCTCTAGAATCTGGTAGTGTCATATTTGTTTTTCTGTTGCTGAGTGTGTTCTTGTATTATCTCCTTCCCATCCCTTCTTCTAGTGGGTGCAGAAAGAGCCTCTTCCTGGCCTGGTGGTTAGGGTACCAGAGTTCCCTTTTGGTGGGTCCAAGAAAGTCCAGTACTCTGCTAATTTTCTTCCTCATCCTAATCCTGGTGCTGTGGGAGGAGAATAAGAGCAGGACCTAGCGTGAGTAGGCTCCCATTGGGAGGGGAGACTCAGTGGCAGTTTCCAGGTGTTGTAACATGGGCCAGAAACAGACTCCAAATTGCCTGGTCCAGTGGGTGGAGAAGAAGACCAGGAAACTAGGGTGCATAGGCTCCTGCTGGGAGCGAAGGGTCACTGGAGCTCCCCAGGCACTGATCCAGTAGGTGGGGTAGAAGACCAGGATACTGGGATGCATAGGCTCCTACCGTGAGGGGAGGCTCAGTGGCGGTCCCCAGGCACTGGTCCCGCGTGTCTGGATTTATGTTGAGGTATTTGATCCACTTGGATTGAGTTTTTAGTAGGGTAATAGATATGGATCTTTTTGCATTCTTTGACATCCTGTTCTCCAGTTAGACAAGCACCTTTTGGTGATGATTATTTCTTTTATCCATGGTATAGTTTTTACTTCTTTGCAAAAGACCAGGTGCTCATAAGTGTGTCGACGTAAGCCTGGGTCTTGCATTTGATTCCACTGATCCACCTGTCAGCCTTTATCCCAGAGGTTTGTTACTATAGCTCTGTAGTAGATCTTGATTTTGGAGATGGTGATAACTCCAGAAGTAATTTTACCGTACAGAGCTGTTTGATTTATTCCAGGTTTTTCTTTTTTCACATGAAGTTGAATATTGTTCTTTCAAGATCTGTAAAGAATTGTTTTGGGATTTTAATGGTGATTGCCATGACACTATCCATTGCTTTTGGTAAGATGCTCACTTTTACTGTCTTGGTCCTACTAATCAATTAGCATGACAGATCTTTCTACCTTCTGATATCTCCTCCAATTTCTTTTTTCAAAGACTTGAAGTTCTTGCTATAAAGGTCTTTCATTTGCCTGGTTGGAGTTACACCAACATATGTTATATTACTTTTGGCTATTGTGAAGGGCATTGTTTCCCTGATTTCTTTCTCAAGCAGTTTATCCTTTGTTTATAGGAGGAATGCAGATTCTTTTGAGTTAATCTAGTATCCAGCCACTTCAGTAAAGGTGTTTATCAGTAGTAGGAATTCCCTGGTAGAATTTTTGGTGTCACTTATGTATACTATCATATGATCTGTAAATGTGAGACTTTGAACTCCTCTTTACAAATTTGTATGCCTTTAATCTTAATCTCTGTCTGTTATCTTATTGCTTTAGCTAAAGCTTCAAGTATTATATTGACTAGGAATGGGGGCAGTACACAGCCTTGTCTTGCTTCTGATTTTAGTGGAATAGTTTCTCACCATTTAATTCGATGTTGGCTATGGGCTTGGCATAAATTGCCTTTATTATGTTTAGATCTGTCTCTTGAATCCCTAATCTCTTCAAGACATTTATCATGAAGGCATGTTGTATTTTGTTAAAGTCTCTTTAGCTTTTGATGAGATGATCATGTGGTTTATTTCTTTCAGTTTGTTTATATGGTGGATTACATTGTAGGATGATGCCTATTTGATCATGGTCCATGATCTTTTTGATGTGTTCTTGGACTGTTTGTGAGTATTTAATTATTTTTCCATCAATATTCATGAGGGAAATTGGTCTGTAATGCTCTTTTTTTGGTTGAGATTTTGTGGTTTGGGTATCAGGGTGACTGTGGCCTCATAAAAAGAATTTGGAAATATTCATTCTGTTTCTATTTCATGGAATAAATTGCAGAGTATTAGCAGTAGTTTTTTTTAAGTCTGGTAGAATTCTTCACTAAAACCATCTGGTCCTGAGCTCTTTTTGGTTGGGAGACTTTTAATGACTGCTTCTATTTCCTTAGGGGTTATACACCTGCTTAAACTGCTTATCTGCTCTTGATTTATTTTTAGCAAGTTCTCTCTATCAATAAATTCATTCATTACTTCTAGATTTTCAAAGTATGCAGGGTACAGATTTTTGAAGCATGGACTAATTATTCTCTGGACAGCCTCAGTGTCTGTTATATTGCCCCTTGTATTTCTGATTTTTATTTATTTGGATATTTGTTATCTATCTTTTAGTTAGTTTGGGTAAGTATGTTTGTCCAACCAATTCATTTTTCACAGAACCAACTCTTCGTTTCATTGATTATTTGTATTCGTCTCTGTGTTTCTATTTTATTGATTTCAGGCCTAAGTTTCATTTTTTTCCTCCCATCTACATCTCTTGGGTATGTTTGCATTTTTTAGTTCCATATCTTTCACATGTATGGCTATTATTGTTTGTGTTCTTATACTTATGTTTAGTTATCTAGATTTGGAGTAATTATAGATCTTGGTTTTATTTTCTGGGTTTGTTTTTGTTGGACTGTGTTTTCTTCCTTGGTTTCTGATTCCTCTCTGGTCTTCTGGATACTGTGGACTATGGTTCAGTAGAGGTTATCCATCTGCATTGGGGGCTGGACATCTGATGGCCTAGATGTACTCTTTTTCATATGTGGGTTTCTGCCCAAGTGTGGGATTGAAGTTCTGACTGTGTGTGTGATCTCTGATCTGGCCAGCATTCGTCTGGGGTTCAGGATCCTGGCCTAGCTTCTGGTATAGTAGGAGGCATC